ACCCTTCACCAAAGTTACCACTTATCTATTGTCTATTTAGTCCCCCCCACCCCACAACCCTCCTATCCCTGGTAACCAACAAAGATTGTTTCTTTTTGTGTGTAAACTTTTACATGAGATTTTACAGTAGAAGTTTCATACAATCTTTGTGCTTTTGTGATTGACTTATTTCATTCAGCATAATGTCCTCCAGTTTCATCCATGTTATGAAATGCTTCACAGATCATCATTGTTCTTTATCATTGCATAATACTCCATTGTGTGTATGTACCATAGTTTGTATATCCATTCTTCTGTTGATAGGCATCTAGGTTGTTTCCATCTTTTTGCTATTGTGAACAGTGCTGCAATGAATATGGGTGTGCATATGTCTATTTCTGTGATGGCTCTTATTTCTCTAGGATATATTCCTAGGAGTGGGATTGCTGGATCGTATGGTGTTTTTATTTCTAGCTTTCTAAGGAAGTCCCATATCATTTTCCAAAATGGTTTTATCATTTTGCATTCCCATGAGCAGTGCGGAAGAGTTCCGATCTCCCCGCAGCCTCTCCAACATTTGTTATTTCCAGTGTTTTTGATTTCATGCCAGTAATACCGGGGTGAGATGGTATCACATTGTGGTTTTAATTTGCATTTCTCTAATGGCTAGTGATTGCGAGCATTTCCTCATGTGCCTGTTGGCTGCTTGAATGCCTTCTTTGGTGAAGTGTCTGTTCATTTCCTTTTTTCCTTTTTTTAATTGGATTCTTTGTCTTTTTGTTGTAGAGGTGTTGGATTTTCTTGTACATTTTAGAGGTTAGACCTTTGTCTGACTTGTCCAAAAAATTTTTCCCAGTCTGTAGGTTCTCTTTTTACTCTTTTGGTGAAGTCTTTTGATGAGCGTAAATGTTTAATTTTTAGAAGATCCCAGTAATCTAGCTTATCTTCTGGGGTTTGTGTGTTGTTGGTTATAGATGGTATCCTGTTAATGCCATGCATTAGAGCCTATAGCATTGATCCTATTTTTTTCTTGTATGAACTTTATAGTTTTTGGCTTTATACTTAGCTCTTTGATCCATTTTGAATTAGTTTTTGTGTATGGTATGAGGTATGGGTCCTGTTTCATTTTTTTGCAGATGGACATCCAGTTTTGCCAGCACCGTTTGTTAAAAAGACTGTCTTTTCCACATTTGATGGACTTTGGGCCCTTGTTGATCAGGTGACT